CGGCAACCCAGTTATCTTTTAAAAACCAATTGAGCTCTGGCCGGTGTAGCTCAATTAGTTGGGTGTTGTCCCATGCACCATAAGGTTTTCCTTTCGATTCCCAGTCAGGGCAATGCCCGAAGTGCAGGCTGGATCCCTGGTAGGGGGCGTGCAGAAAGCAGCTGATCGATGTTCCTCTTTCTCTCTCCCTCTGCCTTGCTCTCTCTGCAAATATCAATGAAAATATTTTTTTGAAAACAAAACAAATTTATGGTATCATTCCACTATTCAGTTCCTGATGGCTCACCACCTTCTACAAAATAATACCTAAATTCCCCAGTGTGGAATTCAAACACTTTCCCAAGTGATTCCATCACACACCAGGTTTCCTTTCCCCTCACTCCTAAAACCACTCACCAACCCACAGGATGATTCAACCTCTTCCCTCAAACCACCATGCTTTTGTTGGAGCCGTTCATTCTACCTGAAATGCCTTTCTCTCATTCTCCATCAGGCAAACTCTTTATTTTTGAAAGTCCTCCTCAAATGTTACTTCTCTAACGCGGTCCTCCACCAAGACTTAGTCACCCCTCCTCTTTCCCACATTTTCCCACTTTAAACACCTACCAATTACTTATCGCAATTTGGTTAGCATTATGTAAACACCTGCCTCCTCCATTTCTAAGGAAAAGGCCAGGTGGAATAATAGTATCACCCCTAATAGGTGATTATTGAATTCATTAGAAAAAACATTTTCATATTCCTAACTGATAAATTTAAGATCAATATCTTTACTCATTTCTGTTCCCTTATCCACTGAGGGAATTGGCAGTGGAAATAGCTTAAACTTTCAAATCTTAACATTGTAAGAATTAGAGAGCTCAAAAACAATATTTGGAGACTACATCCAAAATACATTTCCCTGGTGAAAAAAATTGAGATTCTTTTCAAATAAAAGTATGTCTGAACATGAAATCAATTAATCCAGTGCCTTATAGCTTTCATATTTTAAATCTGTATTTTAACCATGCTTATTGGAAGGTCATTTATTGTTAGGAATGACAAAGCCAAGTGATTTTTTACAAGCTCTGAAGAGAGCTGAAGGAGAGTTTCTCATTTCTAGCCCTTGCAGTAGAATTTTAAAGCAGCTGTTTTTATTCTAAGAGTTATTATGAACTTTAAATTGGAAAGTTTTAAAGTCTTTTTTGTGCCCTTAGAAGACTAATACCACTCTAGAAAGTCAGCTAGATCCCTAAATCTGGGTTAGTAATGGTTTATTTGTAAAAAAAAAAAAAAAAAAAAAAAAAAAAAAAAAAAAAAAAGTAATATTCAATGACAGAGTCTCCCAGACACTTCCCGGAACAACTTCCACTGCTTTGTTAAATATCAATGTGGTATCTGCCTCTGCAGTGAGAAAAAGTGAAGTTTACAAAAAATACATTAAGGATAGGTTTCAATTTTTTTTTCTGAAATATTGTAAAATACATACCATTCTTTGAAATTTTTTATACACAAAAATGCAAATAAAGACGTTGGTGTAAATGAAAATTTCTTAACAGTTCTTAAAATCAACCCTCTTTTACAAACAGATTGTTACTTGAGTCAAATGCCCATGGGCCTCTTCCCTCATGAACAACATGAAAAGGGGCAACTTTTGAGTTATGAGCTATTTCAGAAAATATTTTTAATAATTGTGTATTTCACCGTAGCTGGTTTGGTTCAGTGGATAGAGCATCGACCTGCAGACTGAAGGGTCCCAGGTTCGATTCCAGTCAAGGGCACAGGCCCAGGTTGCGGGCTCGATCCCCGGTGGGGGCAGTGCAGGAGGCAGCCGATCAGTGATTCTCTCTCAGTGTTTCTATCTCTCTGTCCATCTCCCTTCTGCTCTGAAATCAATAAAGATATATTTTTTAATAATGAAAGAAACTCCTATAAAAAAATAATTGTGTATTTATTTTAATGTATCTTGGGGGAAAATGTAACTAGTACAATACACCCAAGAATCTTGTGGCTTAAAATGAGACAGATGTTGTGACTGCAGTAAACCATCTTCTTCAAATTGCACATGGCATTGTGCCCTGGCCTGGCATGAATGTTCTGATCTTTAGTAACTGATGTTCTTAACTGCATGAAAGCATTATTTAGGATGATGGCCTAGATGTCTAATGTAGATCCTCACATACAGTACTTCCATTCATGTTACTGAGCTCTTGTACCTATAAGCACATATAATTTTATCAGAAAATGCAACTGACTATCCTTGGCTCTTCCAGGCCATTTATGCCTGTGAGTGACGCTCTCAGTGCTTACTGACACCAAAATAAAAAACTAATACTGTTATCGGAAGTGGGGTGTCCACCAGTGGAAGTGAGTGCTGGGGGCGGGGTCCTTACGATATCTCAAGAAAAATAATTTTCTGAGACTTGCACGGAAGGATGAGTGATATTTATTTGCACGGAATTAAGTCCCTCAGTTTCTAAAGTCTCATTTCCCTTAATCCAGTCCTGGAAGAGGTACAGCTGAGGATTTAGTAAAGCTAGAATCAAAGCCAGTGTTCAAAGTTTCTGTTCCATGGTGGAGCTGGGGCTGATGTAACATCAGGCTGACTACAGTCCATCATCCATTGTATGTGCCCCACATAGCCACAAGCCATGTGGGCAAATGCAGGAGCGGGAGAGTCCAGCAGCCAGGAGTGCCAGAGGCAAGAGAAAGATTCTTTTGTTTAGAAGTTTAAGTATCTTAAATCTTCCTACACTTGCAATGGCCACACCATTTCTGGCCAATGACCTGTTCCCAGGTGTGACTGACAAGAAAATACCTTCCATATTTCACCCAGGTTAATTACAACAGCATCAATACTATTGAAGTAGAACTTCAACTTTGTTTTAAACTAGGTGACATTAAACCTACTATCCCCCTTACTATTGACTGCTCAAAAAATTCAATTCTTCTCAACGAACTTACTATTAGGTATGTATTTTGTAAATCAATTATATTTATAACTTGACATTATTGTCTTTCTTTGCCTTGTGTTAATGACTATGTGGAGTGTTTTTGTTTCATTTTATTACTATAGTCATCTGTGACAATTAAAAGTAGCTTTAACTTGTAGTAATAATATAATAGGGTTTTTTGTTTTTTATTTTTGTTTTTTGGTTCATCCTCACCCAAGGATATTTTTCCCACTGATTTTTAGAGAGACTGGAAAAGGGGGAGGGAAAGAGAGAGAAACATCAAGGCGAGAGAGACACAATGATTGGTTGCCTCTCACATGTGGCCCAACCCGGCCAGGGATCTTGACCAGGAATTGAACCTGTGACCCTTCAGTGCTCAGGCCAATGCTCTAACCACTTAGCAATACCAGCTGGAGTTATAATGTTGTTGTTTTAATGGAGTGCATTTAAAGAAAAATAATAGTACAGATGACAGGAAAATCATGAAGATGGCATGAAAGACACATTCTGGAAACACTGCCCAAGGGAGAAGTTCTTTGCATGGGTGACAACTCCTCCACAGAGAGTAAATAACTCACACTTTACCACTGTCAATTCCAAAAGGTAATGCCATTAAGTAGGCAACCACAAAGAAGAGGTGCAGTTGGGGATTTCAGAGCTAAAAGCAGAGCCAGTGTCCAGAGTTTCAAAGAATATTACTCTTGATGACATAGGTGAAACTAAAAAAAAATTTTCTTAAGTGTTTCATTTTGGTGTAGTACAGAAAAGCTCTGACAGCGATGAGTAATTTTTTAAAAATACTTTAAAAAAAAATGCACTTTATTGATTTTTTACAGAGAGGAAGGGAGAGGAATAGAGAGTTAGAAACATCAATGAGAGAGAAACATCGATTTAGCTGCCTCCTGCACACTCCCAACTGGGGATGTGCCCACAACCAAGGCACATGCCCTTGACCGGAATTGAACCTGGGACCCTCAGTCTGCAGACCGACGCTCTATCCACTGAGCCAAACTGGTTAGGGCGGATGAGTAATTTTGTAATCAACACCAAGATAACCGAAGACTAATTTAGTCCCTTTTTAAACCCTAAGGTCATTACTCCTTTACATAATGTAAAATCTCAAATCACTAATAAGAATCACTAACAGGAAAAAAGACACTATCTCACAACTATCCTCACCAACCAAAGAAATATTTTGTTGTGCTTCATCTTTCATTGTTTATGTTTTTAAAACAGAGCTCCTCACACAGACATTTGAAGAACTCTCTTCTGACAAATATGCTTTTACAAACTCCACTCCCCATTTTATCTTATTTTTATTTTTTTTAATATTTCTTAGCTGTGGTCCCAGTTTATTATAAAATTAGTTTTTCATTTATACATTGTAATTTAATTGTTCATAAAGCCCAAAACTACAGGTTACAAACGCATGAGTTTTGAAAATAAAATGACACATTTTAACAACTTTTTGGTATAGTACAAACTATTCTCCTTAATTTGCCATTAAAAGTTGTCTTGTTTAAGAAATTTTGTACACATTAAGTAAAAAAACACTTTCGACTAGTATATCAGTACTTCCAATTTTGAGTTACTATCTAGCATTGAATTTTTGCCACTACTCATCTTATAAATTAAAAATTGCCACTCAAGCCTATGCTCTACAATAAGCAGTTTGTAAATGCTAGTTATTTATGACAGCAGGAAATGATGAAAAAAATGTTGTCATAGTTTGAAAATACAGTACCCAGCTATAGGAATATTAAAAAATAGCCCCTTTTCTTAACTTCAAATGTAGATTTCTAACTTCCTCAAATTTTTATCAAAAATTAAAGAGAATATCTAGGCAACATACAGAAAGACTGAAAAAAAAATTACTTGGAACTAGGACTTATCACTGACCATAAAGATAAAGCAATTTAGTCAAAACATCCATTAACTGGAAACATTTACTTTATTCATTCTCTCTCTCTTTCCCGCTCTCCTTTCTATGTTTGAACAGCAGACCTTGTGATCTTTTATTCCTAAGTTCCAGTACATCAAAAGAATAAAGTGTTCACAGACCATTTAAAGGTAATAATAAACACTTTAAAACAATGAAAACAAATCAGTGTGTGTTAGCAAACTGCAATTATCCTGAAATTTTAGTCTTCTTGACAGGTGATGGCCAAAACCCAAACTATGGAACAAATACTCTGAAACTTTAAGTTCAATTTAGATATCGTCAATGTCTTCATCATTATCTCCAATATCATCAAACTGGATTTCATCATCATCTCCAGGACCAAATGTTTCTGTTTCATTGATTTTAGTATGTTCTGGAAGCCCACCATATGCCTTCAGACTTCTAGCTTCATCTACATTGTACTTTAAAATTACATCAGCTTTGCTATCCTGATAGTCTCGCAGACCAACCAATATAATGTCTGAGGTATTTATCCAAACCTTTTTTCTCAGCTTTCCTCTGATATGACATAACCTCTTTACACCATCAAAACACATTGCTTCTAATCGTCCATTCCCCAGCATTTCGATTACCTGAGCATACTCTTGGCCATCCTCTTTAAAGACCAATTCTCTCTTTCCAGATTCATTCTCATGCTTACCTCTTCGCCTGTTTTTACCTCCTTTCCCTTATTCTTGGGCATGATGGCGCCGGCTTCCTGGCGGTTGGGATCTGATGGTGCGCGGCAACGGCGACTCCTCCAAGGGCCCACGAGACGGAAACAATGGCAGATGTCGAGGAACACTGATGCAACTGAGTTCCAAGGCGATGCAGAGACAACCACCTTCATCCAAGGGTGCGGCAGATGCTTGTCAGCTGCTGTTTAGGGTCCTTAGGAAGGCGAAGTCTCATGGCATCGGACTCCCTAAGGCTTGAGATGTTCTCAGCAGCTCCAGTGCCATGAAGAGTCACCTTGGAGAGGGAAGGGACCGATGGCCGCTGCTCTGCTGACGCTCAATAAAGTGAAGGGAATGACCGGCTCAGGCCCAACCGCCCACGGCAAACCTACGGGGAGCGCGGGGGCGTCCCTTAGTAGCTGAAGTTTGCTCAGCCTCAGTCATATGGCTGCAGACTCGTGTTTAAAACTCCGTGAAGAAATAGCTTTCCTTTTTCGCTGAAGGAAGGTAATTTAACAGAAATTAAACGTGACCGTCTGTGTTAGTAGGAATTCTTTTGGTCGCTTGAGCAAACAAGGGCATGGAGGTATCCTGTGGAACCGCGGGCAGGAATGCAGTCTGGCCTCAAAAGTGGACGGGATGCAGGGGTGCACAGCCATCTTCCCACCCCATCGTTCTCCCCCACAGCCCCGCTCCCGGGGACTCAGTCCGCAGGGTGGGAAGTGACTGCCTCCCAGCACGGTCTCCTCTCCACTCCCCATTTTAGTGATTTCCTAGGACACACTCCTTAGGGAGTCCTGTACCATGAGTTGGAATTACTATCTACCATATGAAAAGTAGAAACTGCTCTCAATAACAAGACATTATTCATTACTCCGTGTGGGCATACTGTAATTACTGCAGACTGTTTCAATTTTCCCAATGATAGTGAAATATACTTTTAGAGCCCAGCCAGTGTGGCTCAGTGGTTGAGTGTCAACCTATGAACCAGGAGGTCACGGTTCAATTCCTGAGTTTCAGGCTCAATCCCCAGTGTGGGGTGTGCAGGAGTCAGCTGATCAATGATTCTCTCTCAACTTTGATGTTTCTATATCTCTCTCCTTCTCCCTTCCTCTCTGAAATCAATAAAAATATATTTTTTAAAAAGAAAAAAAAAGAAATATACTGTTAGAAACCATAGTTAACATGCTCACATAAAGAAAAATTGCAAATACAATTAAACTAAGTTATCTCCATTCTAATTTTTGTAACATGAGAAGAGTGAGTTTGTAACACTATAGTAGCTATAGTAACTCTGTAGTTTGTAATAGAAAGTGAAATAGCAATATGAATTTTATAATAAAAACAAAACAATTGGTATGGAGAGGATGTAAGCCTACCCTGATTAGCATTCCTAAGCTTGCAAAATGCAGAAAACAACCTTTTATACAAAGTTAAATGCCAAGACTAAAAATGGTTCAACTATACTTTGATAGATATTACATCTACAGTAAGTATTGTCAAACACAATGTAAAACAGGCTGTAAAATAAAATCACAAACTAGTAAATGTAGGAAAGCAACCCCATAAAGTACATATGGAAATTTCAGTGTTCTTACAGAACTTACTTTTTATGTAGCAGAGTAGCCATAAAGAATTTCCAATGAACCAAAACTTGTTGCATAAAAAATAAAGGACACATGATTTTAAGGCATGCATCATGGCAAATACTCTCAGTTGTCCCTAACAACCATTCTATACTTCTTTTATAGTAATAGAACCTTAATTTTAATTGAGTACCTAGCAGCCCAGAATAGGGACTACATTTCTATTGAAGAAAGGTGTACCAATATGACTTAAGTTCTGAATGATATGGTAAAAGGAAGAATATTGGATGCAACTTCCAGGAAATAACCTTAAAAAACTAAAGAGACAAGACCTTCCACTTTCCCTTCTTCCTTCTTGCTGGCTGTAGGGGAAAAGAGATGGCTGGAACTGGAGCACCATCATAGAGAAGGAGATGGCCTTGAATAGGAAGGGAAGACGTAGCAAAGACACAAGATGTAAGAGGCATGGATGTCTAAAACCATGGAGCAAGATCCTAAACCACTTACATGAAAATTAAATAAACTGAAGCCATTATTTGGGGTTTACTGCCACTTTCAGCTAAGTCTAATCCTAAAACATATCTGTGTACATTTTCAACCACACATAAAATTTGTTCTTTCTAACAACTCTAAATTACTTCAGTTTCATTTTTTGAACCTTTTTAGAAAACAATTAGTGTGAATTGTTTAAAGTTTTAACTGCTATGGATGGGTTGTATTAAACATAAATAATGCAAAAAGAGTTCAGCATTTAATCATGTAATACAAATGTTTTCAATGTTTTTTTAAATTCTCGCATTTCACTGATGAGTGAAATGGAAGGCGCCAAAAAATTAAGTAATTTGTTCAAGTTCACATTCAATAAATATTAATTAAATTATAAACTTGAAGTGAAGCTTAGATTCTAATAGAGGATATTGCCAAAAATAAGTAAACAGATAAGTATAAATGAAGACACTTGGAAGGCAATAAGAGGCTGAGAAAGAGCCTAGCAGGCAGAAGGAGGGGAATGGCAAGCCAGCTTCTGTCAGTGTCAATAAAGGCTGGGCCTAAAGGATAAGATGGGGCCAGCCCAGCAAAGGCTGCAGGAAAAGGCATCCCAGGCAGAAGGTGTGAATACCCTCACATGGACTATGCTTTACATGTGTGTAACCGGAGGTGCCTCTTCCACATTCCTGTAGTATACCCTACTGTGTGGCGCTTGCACACTGCCCTAGGCACCATAAAAAGATTTGTAAGTGCATGATTGCTTGCTCTCCCAACAGAGCAAATCAATGGAAGCACTTGCACTGAGACTTGAATCTGTAACATCCATGCTACTGTGTGGGGAATGGATCGAGAAGGAGGCACCAGGGATTACCATAAATCCTAATTGTCATGATGGGACATTCAAAGAATAGCCAATCTGAAAGGAAAGGTCAGGACCAGTAACTGTAGCATGAGTATCAGAGAAACCCACCAAACTGACCTGGAACATTTTCCAAAATTATCTCATCTGCTGCAGCTCTCTCCCTCAGTCCTTATAACATGTTCCTCTGGCTTCATGTCTACAGCAAAAAGAAAAAGAAAGTGAAAACAGTACAGAGAGTTAATGAGTGAAAAGTAGCAGTTCTTGGCCATTTTCTGAACTACCAATCCCTCGTCTCAGATAAATTCACTGACACTAGTTCTACTTTTAGTTCCTTTGGTGGTTACCACCATATAGCTAAATGATAAATTGTGCCGGTTTCTTCATTTTCTCATTTAAAACAGTGTCTATATTTCAATCCCAGCAACAACATAGCGCCAGTAACTAACTATTACGCAGCCAGCTCTGGGCAGTGAACTTCCACTGGACAGAGAGGCCCTATAGCCTCAGAGGCAAACCCCAGAACACTGCCACCCAGAGGCTGACCCACAAACTGACTCTTTGCTAAACACAAAATAAGGCAGTCTGGGAAAAAAATGCGGCCTGCTTTAAAATAAGGACTGTGGTTTACAACACAGAGGAATAGTGTATCGCAGGGAAACTCAACACTCTCCTGAATACCTGGCAGGTCTAAGGCGAGCCACACTGAAGAATAGAAGAACCGAAGGACCTTCACTACTGCATTTTTTTTTTCTTTTTTCACCTTTTAACTAAGAAACCAATTCTTTTTTCTTTTTTTTTTCCTTCTTCCTTTTTTTCTTTTTTCTTTTTTTTTCTTCTTTTTCCATCACCTGATTTTACACTTTTAATTACTACCTTCTTATTTTTAACCAGTATTATTACTGCTACCATTTTCCCATTTTTTAAAGTGCCATTTTATTTTCTCTTTATTTTATTTTGGGATTAGTGTTCTCCATTCTATTTTCATCGTTCTATTATTGGTTGTTTCTAGTTTGCATTCATCTCCAGGGAGCTGTTGCTGGAATTTTTTGGGATTAGTGGGTGTTCTATAGGAGTATTCTCCTCATATAAAAAGTCTCTTCCCCTCTTCCACTTCATTCTCTCTTTTCGATCTTTTTTTTTTCTTTTTTTTTCTTTTTTCTTTTCTTTTCTTTTCTCGCTTTTATTTCCCCCCCCCCTTTTTCCCAATTTCATTTTTGCACTCCTTTTTTTGGTCCCTACTTTTCTTTTCTTATTTCTCTTTTATCTTTTTCTCTTCCTTCTTCCTTATCCCCTAATTCTCTTAATTCGGGTGGTCACCTTTATTTGGGGTTGTTAATATCGTGAATATATTTGTGTATAGTGCCTGGTACGTGGAGCCTTGTTGTGTTGTATTTTGTGCCTTTTAATCAACGCAGCAGATCCAAGCAACAGCAACCTCCTGAGCACCAGACCCTCTGCTGAGGAACAGCAGCTGTACGTGAAACCTCACCCCACCAGCCAGAAGAGCCACCACAGCTGTGAACAGCACCCACCAGAGGAGCTGCTGCCAACTGAAGAGCAGCTGCTACCGCAACCGCCCGAAGAGCAACCACAGACCAAGGAGTCACTGCCACCAAGGGAGCAACCACTGAATGACTCAACGTCTAGATATGTCAGTGAGATCAAACATGGGTAGACAAAGAAACCCCCAAAGGAAAGAGAAGGAGGACTCTCCAGAAAAGCAGCTAAGTAATACAGAGGCATGCAACATGACAGAAAAATAATTCAGAATAAGGGTCCTAGAGTGCATAAACCGGATGGAGGAAAAAATCGACAACCTCTGCAAGAAGCAAGAAGAAACAGATGAAAAAATTGATAACATATGGAAGAAGCTAGAAGAAACAGATGAAAAAATCAACAACTTAAGTAAGACCCAAGAAGAAATGAAGAGTGATATATCTGCAATGAAAAACTCCATTGAAAGTATCAACAGTAGACTAGGAGAAGCGGAGGACCGAATTAGTGAACTAGAAGACAAGGAAGCAAAACACACCCAAAATGTACTGCAATTGGAGAAAAAAATTAAAAGACAGGAG